TATTTTTTTTTTTTTTTTTTTGGAATGAATTGAATGCATTGCTCATTCAAAGAGGGAATTTTTTGATACCCCTAATGTGGTCTGCATTCCAGCACTTCTTGGCTGTGCTTGCTGACATGTAGCTTCTACGTAAAAAAAACAATCCGTAACATGTTACACTGCCTCTCCTCTCCCTCCGGTTCACGGTGACGCCGGCCCCCTACGGCAATGGGAAACCAATCAGAAAACCGGAGCCGCCCTGCAATGTCGCACACTGATAAAAAATTGTGCTACTCCAAGCCATCTGGGCCACAGCCCCGGGCTGCTCCACCACGCTGGGCGTGGTTTAACAGTTTACTGAGGGATTCAAACTGAGGTCTGTCGTGCAACAGCTCGTGAGTGTACCAACTGAGCTCCCGTCGGTGCCAACCCGTTTTCTACCGTTTTCTACCATTACAAGTGGCCAGGGGTTTCGTTGCCATCATCGTTGTTGAAACTTTGTCATCATCGCCATCGCACGGTCCTCGCCAATGTAAGTAAGAGAGAGAGAGAGAGAGATCCTCTGCATCCCCTTCGTCTCCTCTTTCTCTGCCTCCTCATGACCTTCCTCCACTTTTTCATCTTCGTCCTCGTCGTCGTCGTCGTCCTCCTCCTTGCCAGTGCGTGCCATGTGGCACGTGAGCTTTTTTTTTTTTTTACCTTTTTTTTCGGTCATTGTCCTCCCTCTCCTTCTCCTTCCTCCTCCTTCCTCGTCGTCTTCTCCTCTCCGCTTCTTCATATTCGTCCTCGTCGTCGGCGTCCTCCTTCTTCCCTAGCCAGTGCGTGCCATGTTGCACCTGAGCTTTTTTTTTTTTTTTTTTTCATTTTACCTTTTTTTTTGGTCATCGTCCTTCTCCTCCTGGTCCTTCCTCGTCCTTGCTCGTCGTCTTCTCCTCCTCTTACTCTTCCTCCTCGTCCTGTTATTCTTCCACACCTCCTCTACTACCTCCTCCTCCTCCTTCCGTGTTCAGCCAATGTCGCGTGGCACGCACACTCTTCGTTTTCTTTTTAACTTCTTTTTCGTTTTTGCGCGTGCCACGTAGGACACGCTGGCCAGGGAAGAAGGAGGAGGAGGAGGAGGAGGGAGAGGAGGAGGAAGAAGGCGATGAGGAGGAGGAGGTGGACGAGGAGGAGGAGGAGGAGCAGGAGGAGGAGGTGAAGGAGGAGGAGGAGGGGAAGATAGCAGCAAGGAAGGAGGAGGAGGAGGGGGAGGGAGCAACGATAGCGAAAGAGAGAAGAAGTGGAAAGAAAAAATGCGCGTGCCACTCATGAGGAAGGAGGAGGAGGAGGAGGAGGAGGAGAAGGAACAGGAGGTCTATGAGGAGGACGACGATGACGAGGACGAGGAGGAGGGGGTGAAGGAGGAAAAGGACGAGGAGAAGACACCGACAAGGAAGGAGGGGGAGGGAGGGTGAAAGGGAGGGAGGGAGGGGAGGAGGGGAGGAGGGGGGCGATAGCGTAAAACAAACGAAATGAGAAAACAAAAAAAAAAACGTGCGTGCCACGTAGCACGCACTGACAGGTCACATCCTCCTCCTCCTCCTCTTCATCCTTCTGCCTTGGATGCCTCAGACAGAGTGTGGGAAAGACCATCACCACACTCGCACAGGGGTTAGGAAGACTACAAGGGTTTTTCGTTCCTACTTTCTTCTTCTTCTTCAATTCTTCTTCTTCTCGTCGTCCTTCTCCACTTCATCCTTCTGACTTGAATGCCAACATCCCTCAGCCTCAGGAGAAAGCAGGAAAGGCCTCATCACACTTGCACTAAGCTAGAAAAACTACAAGCGTTTTCAAGTTTTCGTCGTAGTCCTCCACATTCACCTCCTGCTGCAGATCCTGCTTCCTGGCGGTACAGACACGCAGCCAGTGAGCGAGCGAGCGAGCGAGCGAGCGAGCGAGAGAGAGAGAGAGAGAGAGAGAGAGAGAGAGAGAGAGAGAGAGAGAGAGAGAGAGAGAGAGA